GATTGCAGTAACCTGATCCCTCCGGGGAGGCGGCAGCGACAGCGGGCACCGGCCTCACAGGGGGAGGAAGCTGCCTGCAGCTGAGGGCTGGGCCAGGAAGAGCTGGGCTGGGGCCTGGGTCGGCAGCCGCTGCCTCCTCTCCCGGCCCATGTATTTTTAATGAGCTCTCCAGGCTTCTGCAGCGGGCAGCATGCGGAAAGGCAGGCCCAGGCCTGTGGCCCCAGCCCTGCCCTGAGCCCTGGCCCCCCAACCCTTCTGGGCATGAGAGGGCGGTCCTGGGGCCCCGAAGCCCCCTGGCCGGGCAGGGCTCTCCATGCAGCTCTTCCTGAAGATGGATTCGAGCCCAGACAATGACAGCTGGTTGGAGGATCAGTGGGAGCAAGTTTGGGGCTGACTGAGGTGATAGGCAGAGGGCTTGGGCCTCCTAGGCTCCCCTGGGGGCTGGGCCACCCCCTCTCCTGGGTGACCTTGGACTGTGGGTCTCTCGTTCTAACCCTCAGTCTCTTGGTCTCATTTGGGAAAAGGCTCAGAATTGTTCCCAACTTTCCCCACAGAATTCTCCAAAATGTCCCACTCCCACCAAACCAGGTGGAGCCTAGGGCTGGGGCAGGTGGGGACCGCAGTGGGCGGGCGCACAGGGCTGGGCTGGGGCAGAGGGTTCTAGTGCAGCTGGTTAGTTCCTGGTGCTGGGGTGTGTTGTCTCCTGAGCTCACCATCCCTCCAGCCCCAGTTCCTTGGCCCCATCTGTGCAGCCTGTCCAGGGTCCATATCTGGGCAAAGTGATTTTGTGGTTGAAGAGATGAGACCAAGAACATAGACGAGCGGCCTGGTCTATCCTGGAACGGGTGGAAACGACCTACACCAACACCGGATTGCCCTTCCTTGCTCTGTGGCTCAAGCAGCGTGCGTCTTCCTGGGCTGGGGGAATGGCACACCCCTCTAGGGCCGGGAACGGCTCTGCCAGCGCCTGGAGTGTTGTTGCTGCAGGGATTGGACAGGGAGCCCCCACTCAGGGCATCCCTCGGAGTCCCTTCTCCACTCTTCGCATTCTCCACGGGTGAACTGGCCTTGGCACCTGCCTTGACCCTGGGAGGCATTTCTCTGGCAGAGCTGAGGCTCCGAGCAGCTGGGCCTTCCAGGCACTGCCTCTAGTTTGGCAACAGGATGGACAGCTCCCAGCTGGGGGGAGCAGGGGTGACCTGGAGCCTCCCCTTCCACAGCCACCCCAGGAAGACTGCCTTTGGCATGAGCCCACAACTCTTCCCCTGCCTGGTGGTTACCCCTTGCATTGGCACCGGTCAGGACTGGGTGGCTCATCCTCTGGGGGCTGTGATCTGCCTTCGAGGGGCTGCCCCTTGGAGGATGTCCTAGGGAGACATCAGTGGGCTGAGCAATCCCCCTGGGTTGTAACTTTGGCTTCCTCTCCCCCCCAGGCTCACCCATGATATCAGCCTGGAGGAGTTTGAGGATGAAGACCTCTCAGAGATCACCGATGAGTGTGGCATCAGTCTGCAGTGCAAAGACACCCTGTCCTTACGGGTAAGGGTGGGCTCCCAGAAGCCCAAATGGAGTGGCAGGATGGGTAGGGACAGGGTTGAGGGCACCCCCACATCTACTAAGGGGCTTTCAGGGTCTCTATGGCACCCTCGTTAATGAAAGAGCATACAGGAAACACCCAGTATAATGCTTGGCACATCTTGAGCCTCCGTCCGAATTTTTCTTTTCTTTTTGGCCAGGAGTTAAGGCAGGAGGTAGCTCCTTCAACTGCCCACAAGAAGGGAGAGGGCAGGAGGTCTTGAGGTCTAGGACAGTAACAGTGAGGGCCTTCGTTAAGGGAAAACTCAGAAAGACCCTAAATCCTGTCGGGAGTGGCCTCGGCAGAGGGCCTGAGGCAGAGCAGGGTGGAGTCTGAGTGCTCTGCAGTGCTCTGGGGCAGGAGGAAGGAGCCAAGCACTCCCTCTGCTGCCCTTGCACCAAACCACACCGCATGGCCCACAGTCCTAAGGCCCCTTTGGAGGGAGGGTTCACCCAGCATTGCTACTGCTTTTGACCCTGTGGCTTTGTCATAGGACAGATGGCTCTCTCTGTCCCTAAAGTTCTGAATCCCGCCAGGAGGCCCTCAGCACCTGGGGCACCGGGATCCGATGGAGATCTGTATCTTTTCAGAATAGAAAGAAGGAGCCACTAGTCAGGAAATGGAAGGCAAACCATGGGGCTGGTTGCAGAGTCCAGAGCTTCTCTCTGCCCCCCAGGAGGGTGGCTGGCCAGAGCAGACATGGTGCTAGGAGAGCGGTTAGCCAAGGAGAGCTGGGATGGGGTTCCTGTCTCTGTGTTGACCTCCTATTGCCCCAAGAGATTCTGTAGGCCTGCCAGGGAGGAAGAAACCAAGTGGGTGGGGGAGGATGACCCTCAAGTACCTGCACCCCAACCTTCCACCCTCTGGCCGGGGGAGGAAGGGATGGAGGCAGAGGTCACTTCTTCTGGGCTTGGGGAATGGTCCCAGGGCCCTGACATAGTTTCTCTCAGGTCACACACCTATTCTCTTCCCGCAATGCCCACTCCCCCAACATGCACAGGCAGAGCCTTGCAGAGGGTGGTCCTGCAACCAGCTAGCGCCCTAAGGCCCTGGGGTACACTCTGTGGAGCCTTAGAAAGCTCCAAAGGGCTTTCACACCTCTCTGGGAATCTGGGAGGCAGTTTAACTGGTGAGGGAACTGGAGGGTCAGGAAATCTGCCCCAGGTGCCAGGGAGTTAGTGGTAGAGCTGGAACTGGGAAAGCTATTCGGAACTCTGAAGGTTAGACTGGCCGAGGGGAAATCTCAGGGTGAAGGGGCCAAGGCCTGTGGACGGGAGGGTGGGGTCTGCCCCTGCCAGGCGGAGGCCGCACCTGCCCCTCCCTTTCAGCATCCCTCTTGCAGCCGCGCTCAGATTCTCCGGTCTGCACTGCGGCCCTTCCCTTCCGCAACCCCTCGCCCAACTGAGACTGTTTTCCCCATTTTCCTCACTGCCCCCTCCAAATACTAACCCCCAGCCGATCCCTTACGGGGGCGCGAACTCCTAGGCGACCCTTCCTCCCCATGGCAACAGCGGTGACCTCACTCTGGGCTCCGCTTACTAGCCGGGTGAGGTCACGGGCTGTTGCCAAGGGAACGGGAAGGTGCATAGAGTCAGGAAGCGGGGGGCCGTGGGGAGGGGAGAGGTGTGGACCGTCAGAGGCTTCGCTGGAGTGGGGAGGAAGCGGCCTCACGCATCCTGGCGGGAGGCGGGAGGGCGCAGCCCCCTCTCCCCGAGCTCCTGCCCCGCTCCCTCTCTCCCCCTCTTTGCGGC